AAAAAATTTAAAATATCAGATGATTGTACATGGAATGGTGGTGCCAAAGAGCTGTGGATCCCTCAGGAGAAGCTTGGTTTTTAGTCTCCGCCGCCCCACGCCCTGGGCACCGATCAGAATCAGAGTTTTCCTCTTGAAAGGCGGGACCTTGGCCACCTCCTCGTACAGCAGTATCTCATGTCTGTCAAACTCTAAGAGAGAGGAGGCATTCATAGATAGCATCAAGAGGAAGCAGGTGTGAAAGTAACGGGAAAAAAACCCCAAGAATTGTTGGAAAAAGAAGAAGTAAGGAATGTTGTAGTTACCTGCATTTTTGGTGGTCACATACATCATCTTCTTCTTCTTCTTCCCTCCAACACCGGTACAGAGATTTCCTGTCACGTTAGCGGAGCGTTAGTGTAGGCAGAAGCCTGGAGTTCGCTTATTGGCACCACATTCACGCTTCACAATCGCCGACTCATTCTTCAGCTGTTCAACAACCAGCTTACAAGCAATCTTCCCTTCCATCCCAGCCTTCCTGTTTGTGTGCTTGTTGCTCATCAGAGGGAACTCAGTTGGACCAGTTTCTACAAGAGATGCATCTGCGCTGTGCAAAGAGCTCCCTTTACAGAGCAGAGCTTCCTCTGCCAAATCCAGCTGAGCTAACCATTTGCTCTAACACTTATTTAGGTGTTTCTTGAAAAAACAACAACAACAAAAACTGTTAAAATGACAAATCACAGCTTTAGGTGCCAAACTATTCCTGGATCAGGACAGCTACAGGGCATTGTGGCTCGGAATAAAGAAAGCAAATGTGTGAAAAAGTTTGAAAATTATGCAAATTTTTAGTCTCTCAATACTAAGTTTGGTGATTACCTTGAGATACTTTCATGTTTATTTTAAACCTACAGATTCTGCCGTCATCATATTGCAGGTTTAACGTCACACTCACTGCCGAGCAACATTTGGTGTTCAAAACCTGATCGTTGTTTCTTACGCTACCGCCTCAACATTTAGATCAGGGGTCTCAAACTCGATATTTTGTGGCCCCCTACTTGACATCAAAGTTTAACAGGCCTGCTCACGAGTTGTTGCCCTGGGTGTTTTATGTTTTTTTACCCACTTGTGGGCTACCATAGCTCAGGCTCATGACAGCAACACCAATTAGCAACGTTGGTCACTTGAAACATGAAAAGCTCTTCTCCACCATGAACTCTAATAAGTCAAAGTGCAGCTCCAAACTTACTGATGAGCATCTTCAAGCCACACTGAGGGTCTCAATTCTTTCCTCCCTCAAGCCAAATGTGGCTCGGCTGTGTAAGAGGAAGTGTAGGTAGGAGAAGCCCATGTTCTGAAGAACCTTTCATGTTCAGAATTGTTATTAATAAAGATTGAGAAGATTGGATCAGTTCTATTTTTTCTGGAAACCCTTTTCTCAGCCTCACCCAGACTCTACCTCCAGCGGCCCCTGGGTAAGCTGAGTTTGAGACCCCTGCTTTGGATGTATTTGCAGACCTGCCACGTCACCACTAGATGGCAGCGAAGTGAATCCTCGTTGTTTACCTGCAGGTGCCAGCTCCACGTCTCTCTTGACGAAGGCTTTTCGTTTCTCCTCCAGCATCTGACTGGGGATCAGCCCAGCGCTCCCGCCCTCCACATGACGGGCCTGTGCAACACATGCACACACAAAATGTAAAGATTTCTAACAAACACTGATTGAGTTTACATGAACACCAGTATCCTGATTATGAGGCTTATCTTGGGTTTGAAAGAAATCTGGTCATTTATGTCAATGTATACACAATAAATACGAGCATCCTGGTTACTTATGGCCCCTCGACTTTGGAACGTCCTGCCTGAGGAGATGAGGAGTCAGGAGCTTCTTTCAACTGGTGACACACTTCAACCATTTATGAGGCCAAAAGAAAGAGTTCCTTTGCTGATGAGAGTGGTGGAGGTTGCTTGGTTTCTAACAAATTTGGAGTTCACAGAAGCAAAGTAAGAAACTATCAGTGCATGTTCTCTAGCAGTGTGGTGACCAAAGCTTTCATTAAGGTCACAAGCCAAGAGGAAGCCATCCACATAGTCTGTGTTCATAGGCTGAAAACAGGGTGCAGCAGGAATCAGTGATATTACGCTTACATGCAAAAACCTGATCATTTCCGGGATACTCAAGTCCATGTAAGCGCACGTTTTATTCACTGAAGTTAGTTTTTGTTCTGTATAATCAGCAAAGCATCACAGAAATGCATCCACGTGCTGTTTCTGTTACCTGCCACCAGTTGACGTCGTCCTGGTTGACGATCTGCAGGATGTCTCCCGTCTCGAACCGTAACCCCGCCTCCTTACAGGGAATCAGGTTGTCATTGGCCGGGTCGTAGTCATAGTGACACTTGAAAAACACCTGGAGGAGTGCACACGGACGCATGTTAAACTCACAGAATGTCAAACGTACAAAAACAACCGCAAGACGGGAGGCGTGACCTTGTATTCAAGATTTAAGAGTTTTTATTTTGTCACATGCGCGTACAGTATGTGCAGTGAAATTTTGTGCATAAACAATAAGACATTTTAAAAAAGGATAATTTGTTAAAAAACAAAAAAAAATATTTCGAAATCAGTGGTTCTCAAACTGGGGGTCGGGACCCCCATGAAGGTCCCAAGACAATTTAAGGGGGTCGCCAGATCATTGAAATAGATAGATAGATAGATAGATAGATAGATAGATAGATAGATAGATAGATAGATAGATAGATAGATAGATAGATAGATAGATAGATAGATAAAGCCTACATTTATCAAATACATTTGTATTAGGGCTGTCAAAATTAAAAGTGTTTACTTGTTCCCACTCCTTCATCAAACTTGTTAATATTATTGTTTGATTATGCGATATTATTGTTCTTTTTTGCTATTTTTTGCTATTTTCTTTTGTTTTTATGTTTTTTTTCCCTTTCATTTGTCCGAAATAAATTCAATTCATTCATTCGTTTAAAAGAAAATTAACGTGCTAATGTAAAGAGATTAATCTGTCGAAATAACACATTAATTTTTAACGCATCAATGCATGAACAACAAAGTTATGACTCATGATATATTAAGAATTCAAACTGGGGGGGTCACGAACACAAACTTGTGTTATCTTGGAGGTCGTTGCTCAAAAAGTTTGAGAACCGCTGCTATAAATAACGAGTTCGAGATCTTAAACCAAAGTGCAGCGTCTGTTGGGTTTCTGCGCGTCACCTGTCTTGGTGGAATGGCTTCGTGGTAGCTGGGCAGTATCTTCAGAACAACACTCCCACTGGCTGCCTGCAGCTCCTCCTGCAGCACCCTGGGGTCCCGGCCCACCTCTCGGCCGTTCACCTGCCGACGCGGCGGACAAAACAGAAATTCATATATCAGAGGAATAAATAATAAACTTTTAAATGGACTTCAAAAGACAAAGTGCTTCACGTAGTTGACTGGGAACAGAGTTGAGACACTCATTCAATTCTAAAGTATATGAAAAGTAAATACCGTAAATTCCGGACTATAAGCAGCTACTTTTTTCACACACTTTGAACACTGTGGCTTAAAAAATGATGAATGATGAATGGTGCGGCTTATATTCAGGTGCGCTCAATAGTCCGGAAATTACGGTAATGACAACAATAACCACAACAACAACAAATATATGATATGCACTGGTGTTAAAATGGTGAGACACATTATTGATCTTCTCTCATAACAGCTGGCAGCTAAAACCAGGAAGTGTTTGTTCATTTTCTAGTCAAATGTTAAATAAAAAATCGATACCCTTCACATATCTGTATTTTACACACTGTATGTAAACCTTTAGCCAGCAGACGGTTAGCGTAGCTTAGCATTAAAGCTTGAATCATGGGAAAACAGCTGGCCTTATTTTGTCTGCAAGTGCAGCAAGAATAGCTGCCTTGCTAATGCTAAAAATAACACTTTTAGGGAGGGTTTTCTGCTGAACTACGTCTGGTCCAGATGCACCGACTCCCAGGAGTCTCCGCTGGTCGCTTGGTAACCTCGCAGACAAGGTTTTATTGTGGATTAAACAACCTAAGTGCACTTTAGAGGTGCCGCTCGCTCGCTTTTACAACCTTTGGACGGAGCCAGACGACAGCAGACGTTAGCTCATTTCATGCTAATGGAAGCTCCTACCTCTTTGATGATATCTCCGACGTGCAGCAGTCCTTGCTGGTCGATCATCCCACCGTGGAGGATGCGGGCTATCACCAGCTCTCCACCGTCCACCTTGAATGTCACACCCTGAAACACAGAAGATAATAAAATCAGGATTAGCGAGTAAAGCCAAACGGTGCTGGGACAACAAACGGTCCTGGAACGACCTCCGCCGTTTCGATGTGACCCACCAGATGCTCTCCGGCCACTTTGCGTATTCCCACCATGCGGATTGCGTCCGGTGGCAGCTGCAGGTTGTGTGTGTGGCTGTCATCTGGTTCATGATCCACAAAGTCGCACGGGCTGGGCGGCGCGCTGTCACAGGCCTGGGACGCCACTGAATCGTGAGTCTCCAGCAGGGACTGAGACACGAAACATATCGGATACGCAGCATTATTTGTGCCGCTTTGACAAATCACTGTGATTCTAAGACATTGCACGGTGGGATAAATTGTTCTGAGGTGGCAAATTGTGGCTCCGCACCTGGAAGTGAGGCTGTGTGAGTATGCGGGAAAGCTCAGCGGCGGTGTCGGACTGATGTGTGAACGGGTCCAGGTCTCTGAGGATCTCCTGCAGGAGCTCCACGTTGTTCTCCCTCACCGGCGACAGTCGCGGCTCCTTCAGGCTCTCCTCTTGCTCCTAACGCAGCACGTTAGAGATTTGGCTTAACAAGTATGAATGATAACAACAATACATTTTATTTAGAGGTGCCTTTCTTGGCACTCAAGGACAACGTACATACATGAGACAAATCGATTAAAAGAAACAACACTAAAATAAGTCAAGTCATTAAATTAAACAGACAGAACAACAGGCTTCAGGTGGAGTAGGCGGTCCTAAACAGATGAGCTTTGAGTTGTGATTTGAATTGGGGGGAAGGTGAGACGGTGGAATTGTCAATTGTGAGAGAAAAGCTGCTGGTTTTGAATAAAGTGGATGTGGTGCCAATCAGGAGAACCTCAGTTTTGCTGCTGTTTAATTTAAGGAAATTTAGGGTGAACCAGGTTTTTGTTTCAGAGATGCAGTCAGTGAGGGAGGTGGGCGGAAGAGTGGACGAAGGTTCAGTGGTGAGGTAGAGCTGGGTGTCATCAGCGTAACAGTCGAAGTGAATGTCAAATTTACAGAAGATATTGCAGAGGGGAAGAAGGTAGATGATGAAGAGGAGGGGCCCCAGGACAGAGCCCTGGGGCACACCTGAAGCGACAGAGGAGGGGGGTGGATTTAGAGGACTTGAGTTGGACGAACTGAGTCACAATGAGTCACACAAGCAGCTTTTCGTGTATTTAAAAAAGTACATGTGAGTGTGTGCGTACCAGAGGGCTCTCCATGATGCCTTTGAGGTAGATGAGGTCCAGGTCATTGGCAGTGGTGGTGCTGGTGGTGCTGTCGCTCATTGCGTCCAACACCTGGGGCACTGTGGTGACACACATAGACAGCAGAAGGAAGGGCAAGATTTAGCAGCAGAAACATGGAAAACGAGACAGTGACAGATGAGACTAAGAGCTGCTGGCTGTGGTTAAAAGGTTGCTTTAAATGAAGGCCTGGCAAATAAAAAAAGAAAAGTCTTTGGTTTAACTTGTGCTGTGATGTAGCTGATTGTTGTAGGGGGACTCTTTATTGGGATCAAAAGATATTTCCAGAGTAAATTCTAAAGGGAGGCGGTAAAATAATTTACCTTTATGAAGACAAAAAGAATCAGAATCATTGATCATTGAAGGGGGAATTGCTTAAGCGAGCGCAACGGGCTGCATGCACGGTGACGCAACAATTCTAGCATATACAGTCGTCTTCAAATGTATTCCTACCCTCCCATTAAAGAAGGGAAAAAACAGCTGAAATAAATTGACGAAAGTATTAATACATACAAATTTAATTAACCAGGAAGAGGCAACGTGAGCACATCAGGCCTGTTTTAGCTCTTCTACATTGGCTTCCAGTACGTTTTAGGATTGATTTTTATAACTGTCCCAGAGGCCCAGCAGCTGAAAACAAAGGGGGACAAAGCATTTTCAGTCCGGACGCCGAAGCTCTGGAATGACCCGCCCGAGGAAATCAGGTCGGCCGATTCTGTGCTCTCGTTTAAGTGGCTCCTTAAAACACATTTTTATCGAAATGCCTTTCTTCATTTTATTAAAGTTTTATAGCTTCTTGTTCTGTTTTGTATGCTTTCTATTTTTCTGTGCTTTTTATTTAAACTTTAAGTTAATTTTATTGAAAAGCACTTTGTAGCATGTGTTTTGAAAAGTGCTCTATAAATAAAGTTTATTACTATTGTTATTATTATTATTATTATTATTATTATTATCATGACTGCCCATCAGCAAAGTGCTCTAATTTGTCCAGGACAGTTTTGTTTTTGTTTTTTTTTCAATTATTCTTTTTACCACAATCCAAAACCAATGTCTTATTTCACTAAATTATAATTTAGCAAATTTTTATTTATTATTACTTTTTTCAGTTTCTAATTATTTCAGTGACTATTGTGAATTTTGCCTTTTCTTTAATGGAAGGAAATGAATACATTTTACCGTATAGTATATAGTTGAAGCTGGAGGTTTTCAGTAACTAATCAACCCCCGGATCACGTCGTGCACCGTGTAGCCAGATGTGTTTGAAAGAGCAAAAAGTGCAGTAAAGTCAAACAGATGCTTCGGATCTCCATCACTGATTTTCAAAGAGCTACATCTACAGCTGTTAATACGAAAGCAGCAGAAATCCAGCCAGACGGTACTGTTACATAAATCAAACATCCTTGTACTCCTGTCCTTGCTTTTGCCCGTTTTTGTTTAAACTGGATGTCGAGGGAAAGCTGTGGATAAAAGAAAACATAGAAAACAGGAAAATGGTGATGTGCGGCGTCGTGTCTGGTCTCACCAGGTTCTGTCCTGGTGGAGGCCACAGGCATGGTAGAGCTTCAGTGAATCTGAGAGAGACATAAAGGAGAGTAAACAAGGGAGGAGAAAATGGCCAACAAACAAAAATGTGAGTGGAGTTTTAGCTGCTGGAAAAGGTGAAACTTTCATCCTGTTGACTTTAAACTAGTGCAGTTTTGCCAGAAAAAAAAACGTTCACAGCGGATCACACAAACGTTTTAGCCAACAGCCGCCTACGCATTTTACTGTTTCGCTGGAACACTTCCTGTAAAGGCAGGTGTTCATGCCGAAAGCAGGGGATGCCAGTGTCGTAACTGTACAGTAAAAAAACGAAGCGCCAGCCAACGTAGGTAGCTAAACATCATGGTCTCCACATCAGAGTCAGAATCAGATTTATTGCCAGGTATAGTTTACCCAATACGAGGCATTTGTTCTGATGGGTTGGTGCAGTAATACATATAGAGTAAGGTGCAACGTAAAAGATAAAAATACAACATATAGCAGCGGGTGAATATCCGGACCGACGGGGTGGAAGTGGGCGGGACGCACAGGCAGTTCCTGGCTGCTAATGCTAGTTTAGGTTAGCGGTCACAGTTCTGTTTCCAGAGTCAGGTGGTGGAGGGCGAATATTCGGACCTCAAAATTGCTATCCGGACTCCACCACAACGACCAAATATTCCGATATTTGGGTCCATCCCAACTGTGTCGGTCGATGCAGTGCATTCACCGTCCTCCTCGGTCGCCCCCATGCCTCTCGCTCCATGTGCATGAGACCGGATGGAAACAACGGCACTGCACATTTCCACTCAAATTTTATCGCGATATTTCAATGCCATATCGTCCCCTAGCATTACACCGGTATGACACGGTACGATATGGCCTCGATATGGTATCAGGTTTCCCCTCATACACTTGGCAAGAAATAAAATCCACTTTTTGCATGCACGCTGATCTATTCCTCTTGCTTGTTACAGCTGCACTGGAGCATTACGAGGGTCGAGCGTCTTATGTAGAGCACCTGTCAGCTAAACCCATCATCCCGGTGTCCGAGATCAACCAACCACCTCCAGCCGACCTCCTCCAGTAATGACTGATTTTTAGTTGCTTCATTTTGAGCCGTAAATCTGCAGCATGTGTGGCTGAAACTGCAGCGGTGAACGAGTGCGTGCTTTTTTTTCTTTCCCCCCCCAGTGACTTTATGCACTCCTTTTCCCCGCCATAACACAGCACAGCAGACGCACACAGCGAGCGGTGATGTCACGCGAGGGAGGGGGCGGAGCTCCGTCGATTGTTCTGGAATTGAGCGTCCGTAGCTAAAGAGGAAGAGAGAGGTTGGTACGGATAAAAAAAAAAAAAAAAAGTAAAGAGTGGAGGGAAAGCGAGAAGGGGAACAAGGAGGAGCTTATGGGTGTGACTAATCTATACATCACCATGACAACACGCACAATACAATGGCAATTTGGGGAAAGAGGGGGACGAACAAAGAGGCGCACACCCCCTTTAACAATATCTATCTATCTATCTATCTATCTATCTATCTATCTATCTTAGCTTGTTGCTATGAGAAGCTGCTGTTACAGCTCATGGCTGCCATGGAAACCTGTCCTCCGTCAGATTTCACACACACTTACACACAGGCTGCCGCTCATGCTAGAGTACGCATTACACAACACCTCAGGCAAGAGCAGCGGAGAGTGGAAGAGCAGATGACGTTAAACGAATCGCTGCGAGGACCGAAACGTGTGTGAAACGGGAGACGAGGACGGAGAGGCCGCCGCATGCAAAACGCCAACCATGTCGGAAACGCGGGATTCGTCCTGCTATCGATCTGTTGTGCAGATTTTATGCAATTTGGTGGCAGAAAATGTGATGAGAAGAAACACGAGAAGATGCTGATCCTGAGGAGAATCCATGTGGGGCTAGTGTGACTTCTTTCTTCTATGAATCGGCGGTTCAGCACAGATTAGTGATAAATATCTCAAAATCCAAACGTTGTATTTTTGACACTAAAGCTGCACAACAGTTGCTTTTGCCACTAAGACGACTGTTCTGAGATAGTGATACCTTAACAGAATCCAGCAGAACATCCCTCTAGGTTAAATGTGTTCTCAAACAACCAAAGTGTCTTTTTTTCATTGATAAGAATTCTCAAGAGTTTAAAGCATTTGTGCTAAACTAGAAGGACAAATGATAAGGTAGCGCCTCCACAACCCACAACAGATTAAGATTTCTTTTAAAATATCTTCCTACTTTAGATTCTTCAAATTAGTTTGCCTTGATGGCAGCTTTGCACACTGTTGGCAATACGTTAACCAGCTTTGCAGGGTTTTTTCCTTTTCAGCTACCAAGTGAGCCGAGCTAAAAGCTACCTGGTAGGATTTCTTGCCCGTTGTGAGGCCTTGTCCACATCTAGCAGGGTTTCTGTAAAACTGAATATCCTGCCCCCTCCGTCTAGAAAAAACTAACGTACACACCACCTCGTTTTTAGAAAAAAATTTGTCCACACCTAACTGCATAAGTGTGTTTTTAAGCACATTTATATTCTACATTAGGGCTGGATCCGGATAGCTGACTATTCGTTCGCTGTGCTGGAATCAGGATATCAAACTTGATCTCCGAATACTATGATGGAGAAGCTCCAGGTGTCGACCTCGTGAAGCTGGACGGAGGATGTCATCGAAACAAACTGTGGCTGCTTATTTATTACAAACACACTCCTGCCTTGACTTTAGTTTAATGTTTTAAAATACCGCTGAGTGTAATGATTTATATAGTGCAACATATTTTAAGCAACAATCATATCGTAAGCTGTGAGTCCATCAAGTGTACGAGGTGTCAGAAAAGTTCCAGGACTGGTGTCACAAAAGATAGATTTCAAATCCAAACTACAAGTTTTCCCCTTCGAAGTAATCCCCCTGGAGTCTAATCCACTTCCCCAGCCTTCTCTTCACACCGCCATCCTCCTCAGCTCCGTCGTCACAGCCATCTTGATGTCGTCCACGTCTTCTAAACGGGTCCCCTTGATGACCTCCTTGAGCTTGGGGAAGAGGAAACAAATCCCACAGAGCCAGGTGGGGTGAGTAGCACGGAGATGTTCTTCTCAGCCAGGAACTGTGGGATGCTCAGGATGTTGTTGTCATGGTGAAGCAGCCACGACTCGTCCTGCCACAACTCTCGCCTCTTCTGAACGAAGCAAACGGATCTCTTTGTAGACGTGCTGACTGATGGTCTGAAGGGGAAAACTGGTAGTTTGTAGTTTGAAATATATCGTTTGTGACACCAGTCGTGGAACTTTTTACTGACACACCTCGTATTTGTGCGAGTGCTGAAGGTATAAAGCACCGAGGCACTTTACAGCTGTGTTCATGTACTTAGCGTTACATATATGTGTTCATACCGCAACTATTTTCACTTTGATTTGACGTAAAGCATGTTCGCTTTTTGTTCCGGTGGTTAATGGAGAGTTGAACAAAGCACACGTTGCTCACCTACTATTCACCGAACCACAAAAAAACCAGCATACACACTAATCACTGCTCTCAAAACGCTGTGCGGCCCATCTGCTCCCCTCCTCCTCCTCATCTACCTCCATCCCTCCTCCTCCTCCTCCTCCTCCTCATCTACCTCCATCCCTCCTCCTCACCGTTTTCACCCTTCTTCTACGTACTCCTCAACCCCCCTCCACCTCTCACTCTCTCTCTCTCTCTTTGTGCTTTCGCTGGCTGTAATGACCTCCCTCCCCGTCTCCAGCTCCTGACATCCTCCCAGCCATTACACCCTTATTTATACACGCCCCACCCATCCATCACCGCCCCTCCTCCCCCCGCCGCCGCCACCGCCTCCCACCGCCTCCCACCGGCACCCATCTGCTCGGCTGCACCAATATGTAAAGAAGCGAACGTTGTTACCTAAGATGTGCTCGTGCAAAAACACGCCGGCTTCATTTTAACGCCCAGTTCAGGACTGAATGAACGGAATTTCTTTGAATGATTTATGAATTAATTTGCTTGAATTCAATGTTCTTAAGGCCCCAATGTTCATAGCACTTTAAAGGGAGACGCCCCAAATCACCTTGTATACATTTATGTATATATTATTTTCTCTTTTTTGCACTATTTGACACTTTGATTGATTTATTTTGCTCTTTTCTTTCGATCTACTATTGTATTTTAAATTAATTTTATTCTTTGTTCTTCTTATTGTTTCGGTGCAAAACACATTTCAGTGTGTATGACTGTGTTAGTGACCAATAAAGGCCTTGAATCCTTGAATCGACAAATTGAAATGCAGGATGTGTTTGAGCGTGTGATCACGTTATTTCTTCTGCTTGTGGCTGTGAGTTTTAGAAACTCTTTGCTGTTGCAGCGTCGCATTAAAAACAACAACAACAAACTCACATCCACAACCGTAACAACAGAAAACCAACATCAGTCCTGATCATGACCAAATATTCACAACTTTTCAGGGTTGTAACCCACTGAAGACCAGTTTACTTACATAATGACGCTATTATTTTGAAATATCTGGTTGCTTATATGAAAAAAAAAGCAGCAACAGCATTGAATTTGGTGCAATTTTTGTGCATTGTCAGATTAAAAATAAACAAATATGAAACAAATAATGATAATTTGCAGTAAATGACGACACTTTAATGGCATCTTTCACTTCCTTAGACTTTAATAATCAACATGAGTCGTGATCATAACTACCAAATATTCAGTCATTTCCAGGATTTTTGTGATTTAAATGTCAAGTTGTTTACTGAATGCCACTGCGTTTATTTAAAAATACAAAAAAAACCCACAAATATTAATAATTGTCCACACAATAAGAGCTACGTGGAGTTGTTTTTTGATGACCACTATCTGGGATATGTCACTGATTAGCAAGAAAACTGATTCTGATGCAATATTGTTTTATGTAGTGTCTGTTTTATTATTTAAAATTTTAAAAAACTAACCAAAAACTCACACCCAAAGGCAGATATGTCCTAGTATAAAACAAACAGCCATAAAAATGTTGGTTTCAATATGTTTAACTTTCACTGAGTTGGATTTTTTTTTAACCATCATCAGACCTGATCGTAACCAAATTTGCATAAATTTTCAGGCTTTTAACCGCTTGAAGACCAGTTCATTTACATAATTGTGTTTGTTTTTAACACAAAAACATTTTTAAAAATTAATATTTTTCATGTCCGAAGTATTAAACGGAGAATCTATTAGATTACTATAGTCTGGGATATTTTAATGATTAGCAAGCATTGATTCTGATGCCTATTCTTGTGCAGTGCAAGTATTTTATTTATTTATTTATTTTAATTAAAAAAGGGACAGAGTCAGGACCTTAGTGACAAAAATGTCCTCATCAAAAACACACCAACAAATTATATAATAAGATCAATTTCCGCTTTCAATGAGTTGGATTTTTTTATTTTTCTTAACTTGTGCATCGTGGACGTCACACAGAAAGGCTGTATACGACACGGGCACGCGCACAAGCACGCGCAGAGGGGTCTTTTTATAATTAGTCTCGGGGGTCAAACGTAACAAAGCCACACACACACACGCACACGCACGCACACACACACACACACACACACAAAAGCGTGCGCCACAAAGAAACACAACCTTAACGCAACCACACAAATAAGCAAGAAGCTACGAGCTCGTGCAGCCAGCGCGCGCTTATTTAAACACGCAGACATCACCACGCGCGCACACGCACGCACGCACGCACCTTTGTCAAGGCAGCTCCGGTGTAGCTGCTCGTCTGACAACAAACAGCTCGTAGGAAACAAAAACAAAAAAAGAGAGAGAAGAAGAAAAAGAAGAAGAAGAAGACGCGCACCACCGCTCTCAGTCCAACGCGTCACACCTGCCCGTGAAGCCGCGTGAAAACCCGTCCACGTACCTTTAAACGCAACGAACCGAGCCTCCCGCTGTCTGTGATGTCTCGTGTGCTTCTTGTTGTCGTCTGGCGTCTTGTAGCGCTCAGAGACGCCGTCAAGGGAAACACATGAAACACACACGACTTCCGGGAAATGCCAAAAATAAACTCCTTTGGGTGTTTCAATGACACACAACCCACACAATATAATTCCTGTTTTAACATATAAAAAATTGCACAGTTGCGACATAAAGCACACAGCGTGATCATGTCCACTATACTGGCTGGCAGTTTAGCTGTTTGAATATTTTAACTTTTATTTTGAAAAGCGCTTCGGGCCTGCTAACGGTTAGCTTGACTGCACTTCAACACCTATCGATGCGACACCTATCCTGGGAGTATTAAAGGGCCAGTGCGGTGTTTTGTTTATCATACTTTCTGGAGCTTTGTGTTTTCTGGGATTTTAGAGAGTTATAAAAAATTCTTCCATTTCTGCATCCATCCATCCATCATCTAAACACCACGTAATCCTCACTGGGGTCGCTGGGGGGCTGGAGTCTATCCCAGCTGATGGGGAGAACATGCAAACTCCATACAGAAAGATTTTGGGTGCCCTAGCCGGGACCGAGGATCTTCTAGCTGCGAGGTGATGGTGCTAACCACCTCTCCACCTTGCAGCTGCCATTTCTGTATTAATAGAAAAAATGAGGAAGCACAGAAACTCTCCATTGCCGTGTCCGAAATCATCCACTCAGTCCCTACTAACTATCTAGGAACCACTATATAGTGAACTATGTGGGGCACACATCGGCAAAGTAACATTTCGGACACTACTCGAGCTACTAATTACGTCGCTCGCTAGCTGTTTGTACCGTAGGTAGCAGCGTAGTGCAAACAAATTCACAGTTTAATTGCGTTGCTAAGAAACAGGTAAAATCAAATTCAACAAAACATAAAGGAGAATACATTTTACTGACAAGTTTCCGTGCTCTCGTTAACATTTCCTGTCGTGCAATGCATGATGGTCCATGTTGCTCGGGTATTGACCATCAACTGTACACTATTCTCGGTGCATTGTGGGATATTTTGAGTGCACTATATAGAGTATAACATTAACAACTTAACATTCGGACAGCACTACAACATGGCTAACACCCTATAATGCACTATGTAGGGCATAGGGGTGATTTCGGACACAGCCCATGTACACAGGCATCACAGTGGTTGGTAGACTACTGAAGTAGCAGCAAACAGATGGGTGACTAATGAAAGGATTCTTCCAATTCTCTGAACTCTCCTGAAAGGATGAACACCATTCTTACAAAAGATATTAACTCCGTTGGTGTTATGATGATGGTGAGGGAGGCCGCGGTTGACATCTGGTGACCGTAAAGGCCATAGCAAACAATTCAAATGTTGGTGTCGACCATGATTTCTGACCCAGCTGACTGACGTTGTTGCCATAGATCTAAATGCAAGTTTTAACTTTGATCACTCTTCCTGTTAAGACAGCCAGTCGAGGAGTCTTAGCGACTGAAGCTCCTGCCACCTGTGCCTCAACAACGAAACACTTATTCCTTTTGTCATCTTGATGCAATATCAGGATTCACAGGGGCCTGGTCATCCATCCATCCATCCATCCATCCATCCATCCATCCATCCATCCTTTTCTTCCGCTTTATCCGGAGTCGGGTCACGGAGGCAGCAGCCTTAGCAAAGCCGCCCAGACTTCCCGATCCACACACACCTCCTCCAGCTCTTCCGGAGGGACCCCTAGGCACTCACAGGCCAGTCGAGAGACATCATCCCTCCAGCGTGTCCTGGGTCTTTCCCAAGGCCTCCTCCCGGTGGGACGCGCCCAGAACACCTCCATAGGGAAGCATCCAGGAGGCATCCGAAAAAGATGCCCGAGCCACCTCAGCTGATCAGCATTTTCTTACACGAGACAGGAATATTTTTTGTACCATTTAGTTCATCTTTAAGGAAGCATCTGCATTAGCCTTCTATTTGTCTTCCAGATGTATATTCTCGGCCCAGCGTGTGTGAAAGCAGTGCAACAGCACCATGCAGTGGAGATGACGGAGTGTTACGCCTGAACGTTACTGTGGTGATGTTGCATTGGAGCTTCATTAAAACGGGCAGTACAGCAGTAGTACCTTGGGGACACCGGGAGGTAATATTGGGTTTTATTGTCTGCATCGATGTAATAATGATGGAGAATGTGATGGTACCAGCGTGTAAAACATCCCAAAGCGACAACAGAGCAAAACAACAACAATATTGACTTTCTTTTTCCAGATCATTGAGTTTCCCTCCAAATATATGTCATTGTATTCCCCTATTACAGAAAATATATATCGTCCTTTCCTTCCATTGTGTCGTTTCATTGTCCGTCCTCACCCGAAGCCCACACAGCTTTTTCTCTGCTCGCTGTGAAAGAGAAGCTTGTTGCTTTTCTTTTGTGTGCTGCAAAATGCCCCTACAGATGTTGGTGCACATGCAACTCGGTGAATTTGTTCAGTGCTTTCCTATTGTCAACGGAGCTCATGAAAAGACTGATGTAGCTTATTCATCTGTGCCACAGAGTTCCATTGTTGTCCAAAATGAAAGCCCCACGTATGTGGTCCTTCTGTCAGAAATACCACCAGAGCTGAAAATGTACGCCGCTGAGAACAGGCCTCAGAAATGGCCCTATAATAAATATATTAGGATATATATATACTATGGGCATCATTTCCGCTTGTCTTGTTAGAATCTGCAGTTCCCTGCTGTTGAAGAAAGGCTTTGTCTCAAAAGTGAAACTTTATAAGTTCACGTTAAAAGTACGTCTTCAGGCTGAAAAGCACAGAGTAGATTTTGTTTTTGTTTTGTTTCTTTCACAAGAAGTCAAATGTAGAATAAAGTGTGCATTGGCAGTTCTCCATTTCTTTTTAATTATGTATATATATATATATTTTAAAAACTTAAAAAAAAATTAACTGTAATTTTAAAAAATTATTTACTGTGTCTTTACAGATTTTCTGTTTTATTGAATTGCAGATAGTAATTTGTAAAATCACAGAAAAAACTATTGAACTACATTCTATTTGTAAACAATAAAATAAATAAAAGGCCAAAAATGTTAATTATCTCCACATCAGATATTTATATTTTCATTCTCAGCAGTCATTTGTTCTTTTACAATGTGTGACTGTTTGTATTTTACTGATATTTGTTGTCATTCTGTTTTCACAGATTTTGAATGTTATCGTCTTGCCACCATTTTTAATGTAACTTTTGGTTTTTTTTACATTTATTACGGCCGGATGTTTTGTTTTGTTTTGTAAGGATACAGTCAAATGTATTCATCTCCTTCCATTAAAGAAAAGGCAAAATTCACAACAGTCACTCACATAACCAGAAACTGAAAAAACTAATAATAAATAAAAATTTGCAAAATTATAATTTAGCGAAATAAGACATTGCTTTTGAATTGTGGTTGAAAAGAATAATTTAAAAAATAAAAAATAAAAATGTCCCAGAGAAATTAGAGCACTTTGCTGTTTAACAAAATATTGGTTTTGTTTGTTTGTTTTTTTGTTTGTCTTTTGAAAATATTTCTGTTGAACCACAATTAAAAAGCAATGTCATGATTTTCATTAAATTTTTATTTATTATTACTTTAGTCAATTTCAACTTATTCCAGTGTTTTTTTCCTTCTTTAATGGGAGGGTATGAATACATTTGAGGATGACTGTACATATATATATATTTAATAATGTACTCTATGGTGTCAAAACTGCTCCATTAATGACTATGAATAATAATAATATTAAACACGCATAACTATCATGAAACGAGCCACCAAAAAACATGTTTTTATCTCACAGAAAACGTTTTATTCATGTATTCTGATGTTACTTTTGACAGTAGCAACAGCGAAACACCAGCTTCCTCCTCTACACGGCTGACGGCCAGTAGAAGGATATTAAAGCTCACGCACACACACACAGACACGGTTCTGACGTCTGATTAGTAGCTCTGACCTCATATATGCTTGTTTTTATTTCAATAACAAATTATGTACAGTTCGTGTTGTCATGACAGAGATGTGAGACGGCGACGGGGCGGCGGCGGCGGGGAGCTCGTGTTTCCGCTCGGTGATGATCACGTGTTTGGGGGGTTCGGGACTCGGAGGTGAGAGGCACATGTCGGCCCCTCCAGGTGCATTCTGGGATGCAGCCAGAGGGAATGCCCGATGAGGATGGAGGAGGGCGGCGGCATCACCACATGTAGGAGTCGTCGTATCTGTTCGGAGACACAGACGGAGGCGGGAATGTGAAGCTGCTCACGAATTCACAGGCGTGTTAATTACAGGTCACGTCAGTCGTTACCTTGACCTCAGGTCTCTGTTGCTGTCGCCACCGAACAGCAGCTCTGCAACCACGTCCTCCTGAGCTGAGCGCTTTCCATACCTGGGATGAAGAGAAGGAAAACGTTAACGTGCGCATTTTGTCGTTGATTAGAAATAAGATATAAGCAGGTCGGCAGCATGACTCAGCATTTCCACGCTCTAACTGCGGATCTCAAAAACACAGATTCCAGGGTTGCATACAGTCGTCCTCAAACGTATTCATACCCTCGAGTTAAAGAAGGAAGCAAACACTGAAAACACAATACATTTCTTTCTTTCTGTGCCATCATTCTTCCTCAGAACACTTCGAGCATCCCTGAACTATCCCAATAGTGAAACCTGCCTCCATGCAGCATAGTAGTACAGCTTCTGTTGGTGAGCTGGTGTGCTCGAGCTGCAGCAGAGAGAGGCTAGGCCATTTTAAGGCCTGAGAGGATTGGCTTTTTTTTAATTTTATAGACAAAACCTTCTAAGTATGTAACTTTGATCCACAGAGGTGACTTGTCGGGGTTAAAGGTCCAAGCAGGAGGATTTTCATTAAATCAAACTGGCTCCAAGTGACCTTCTTGACTTGTTCAGGTCAATGATTAAGTTTTTTAGATTGTTGCTTAACTCTGTTCAGATTTTCCCGCTGTAGTATCTATGAGTCTAATAAGTAGGGATGCTGTATTGATATATCGGCGACCACATTGGTATCGGCCGATATTAGCGTTGTTTTCCCGATATATTGGTATTGGTGAACTAATTTGGCCGATGTGAAAAAACCAATTAGCGCCTTCATCTCTACATTTGATTTGCTGCTATTTCACAGATGTTTTTACGTAAACGGTCCTGGACGTTAATTATGTTAAAATATGTTTGTTACATAATAAAGAAGACTATGTGGTCTAGTTTGGGCTTCTTTTGAACAGTTTTCTCACAGTGCTTACTTCTACTAATTTTTCGATGCAAACAAAAACTGAATATCGACATCGCTAATATCGGTTATCGGCGATATCGGAAAACTTAATATCGGTATCGGCCAGAAATTTTAATATCACTACTATCAAATTGTCTCAGAGGAATCAGCAGCTGTAGTTGACTGTAGTCACGAAAAGTTAGGAGGACATGCCCCGAAGAAAATCTGATTAACAGCTTTCTACGTCAGCAAAAGTCATAATTCAAGATGCTGTATATATATATATATATATATATATATTTGACCCGGCAGATTTTGTCATTTTTCTAGAACACTCATGTAAAACAAATCTATGAAAAAGAATAATTGTGTTTTTGTGATTAAGCTGCATAATGTTTCCGTGATTCCGTCAGAGGAAAGTCAGAGTTGTAGGAGTCATTGGAAACTCAAGACTGCCTTTGTTGACGACTCTATATAATAGCTGTCATGGTATAATTCAACATTACAGTTTACAACATCAGTTTCACCATTTGAGCTGGTGCCCTTCTGTTTGTTATTTAATTACTGCTAATGCTAACACTTTCTAAAGCTGCTGGTTCACATGAAAAGCATTCAACGAGTTTTGTAGTCTCCTTGATGATCAGTATCGGACCTGTTTTTTAGAATCGTACAGAGTCGCAGAAAATACTGACCGAGTTCAACTCCTTATGACTGATAAACTGACATGTTCTGTTTGCGTCGAATCAGTTGGATCGTTGTTAAAACAGACGAGACTTTGCTTCACTCTCAGGATTGTTATTCTCATGACTCATTGCTTCGTTTCACAAAAAGACACCAGGTTTTGGGTTTCGGCGTCTCACGGTTGTCTGTCTGTCGGACGCCTCCGTCCTCTAACCTCTACTAACCATCTACTGCCTCAATCGTTCCTCTGCTCCGAAAGCTTTCATTTCACAGTCAGATTCAGATCCAAGTGCGCTTTAATGTGTGTCATTTTCAAGTCTGGATGGGTTTTGTCGTCCTCTTGATGGTGAAGGCAGGGTTCCAAGAGAGCCTGCAAATGTAAAACCACGGAGCCGTTTAACGGGAAAACTCGCTCGGCAAACTACCGACGGATCCCCCCCCCCTCGACGTACCATTTTCCCATCAACCACCTGTTCCGCCTCCCCCCACCCCGTGACCTCAGCACCCAATCTCATGCTCCGTTAGCTCGTCTGTGTGTTTGTGTGTCTGCGGCCCGGCGGGGGGAAGCAATCAAACGGCGAACATCTTCTGTCTCAGCTGTCACACAGCTGGCGACGGATCAGGTTGTAAAATGTTTTCGCCTCTTTTAATGATCCGTCTGCAACCACGCAGTCTCTACGGCTCCCCGGTTGGTCCGGCTACTTGTTTTATTCCATTTTCCCTCCATTTTTCTCTGTTTGTCTGTAATTCTGATATGGCCGTCTCATAATCTTTCTCTCTTTTCTGCTTTTTATCCAACCGTCTTCTTGTCTTTTTCGCTCTCCAGTTAAGTATTCGGCTCTCTAACTTCAGTAATAGTGTATAGCAGCTTAGAGCCTCTACACGGTGCAGTTCTGCATCAAGGGCACTGGACCGACCAGATCCATCACTTTTATTCGGAGTGCCTAAAGCTGACAATCATTACATCCCGGCCAAACCATTATGCAACCATTGACTCCTTTCCAGTATGTCTTCATCTGGAAGTCTTCACTGGAATTCAAAAACTTTCTCCTCAAAACACATTCCAGCAGCATCAGGAGCCATCTTTAAGCTCCGTATTCAAATATCAATGACCTATTTGACTTTCATGAACAGGGCCGGATGGCTCATGAGCCCTCCCATTAAAAAAAAATAAAGAATTCCATACCGCCGACTCCTATACCTGACGGCAGCAGCAGGCCTCGGCTCAGGCCCCCGCTAACTGAATTTGGAATTCTTTCTTGGGTCCATCTGCGCCAGATTTATTGCTCTGGTTCTGTTGATTTGGAGGCCTGGAGGTTTTGAAGAGCGGCCGGTAATCTAATCTACGGAGCTGCCGTCGGGTGAGGGGGTTGGGGGAGGGATGAGGGGGAGAACATCACACATTGACAGAGCTCGGGGTTTACGGTAAGCGTGAACCCAGCGGCTGGGAACAAAACAAGATTACATGTGGACTCAAGTTGCAAACAGAAAGTTCGAGGATAACAGCCTCAGAAAACGCAGACTTTTGGGGACTTTTTAAGTTCTGCTTAATGCAACAGCAAAACGTTCTTCTAGTTTCACGAGGACCTTCCATAGCAATAAAGTTGTGCTTAGGGACCGTGTGAAAATTATTAGGATGGAAAAGGGGTGGTCATAAAAAATGATTTAGTTATTCCAGCCTTCCTTTGCAAGATTTCCTCTTCAAAAATCAAACAGATGGCAGGAATGTGAATCATTTTGGTTTGCTGGCCATGAATTTAGTGATTTGTACCGTGACTTGTAATGTGGCTGTTGTGAAATTATTACTTAGTTGGGATATTGCAGGGATGCTTTGTTAAAATTGTATTTTAATTTATACTTTTGACAAGTCAAGCAGAGATTTAAAATAATTATTCACACTTAATTTGTTGATTTATTTTATTTTTGGGGGAAAGTTGCATATAAGATTTTTCTTTCCGGCCCGCACAAATAATTTTTGTACAGTCCCTAACCTGAGGGCCACTTTCTTTTAAAGACGGTGTCCTTATTTTGAAAGACTTTACTCTTTTCTTATGAGGTCGTTAGGCTTTAAAAGCCACAATCATACAGCTTAAACAAGCACAGTGCCTGTTGACCATGTGCTGCATGTACATACCTCTGCCTGGTGATCAGGTTGATGTAGTGTCTCAGGGCGGTGTAGTACTTGGCCAGCTCCTCTGGTGGGGCGTCTTCACCGGGGTTCTCGGGTTTGGGTGGGTAGGCGTCCGCCAGCGTTCCCAGACACACCAGCACACACAGCACGACGGCCACCAGGACTGTCCACGGTTTTAGGATGAAGGCCATCTGAAAAAACACAGCAAGGCGCAGGAGGTTACGGATGCTGAGGATCCAAATCTGCTTTAACTCCAATACAATCATCAAGAAACCAGATTTTTGTTCTCCAGTTAATTGCCAAAGTCTAATTTTTCATTATTAAGGATTTAAGGCCAATAATCATTTTTGATTTATGCTATGAAACAGTCATAGTTTATAGTCATAACCTGCAAGTGCAACTCGTGTTCATGATAACTGGTATGCTGTTGGAAAAACTGCATCATTGCTTCAGATTGTGGATATTATTTCTATTATTATTAGGACTATTATCGTTAGTTATGCATAAAAAAAACAGCATTAACACCTGGAATCAAAAGACAAATCCTAACAAATGCTGGGTTAAAAAAGCGTGTGTTTACCAGCCAGACCTTCATCAACAAGTAGTTTTATTTTCCATAAACATGCCACAACAATAAAAAAAAATGCTAAACATGACAATATCTCCATGCACAGCTGGATTAGCAACCAGATAATCAAAGAGAGCAACACAGTCCTTGGTTCACTTCATATCATTTATGTCTACGTAATTTGATTAACTGTCCGTCTTTGCATGGCTTTGTTTTGTGGAGGGACGCTGCGTAAAAAATAAATAAATCTGGTTTTAGGAATTGCATTATGTTTGATATTGAGTTCATTTGTTGTCAAGTTATCAAAATCAAAATGATTAATTCAATTGTTCCAGCACATGGAAATCCTCAGAAAGGACGGTGTTGATTTATCATAGAAGTATTACTGGTACTAGTAGTAGCAGTAGTATCAATGACAATTATTTTTCTTAAACATATTTTTGTTAGAAAATCCTGAAAATGATTTTTCTCCTGAAACCCATTTTTTTGGGGGTCAAGAACTGTAAAAATAAAATAAAATAAAAAAATAAAAAAATTTGAGTTTATGATCACAGGAAACCATGACAGTAGCGACTCTTCACATTCGACAAGCTGCTGACAGAGTTTTTATCATTAGTGCTTAAAAAGAACTCAAATCATTCATAGATACTCAGCTAGTCATTGACTTTTCAACTACTCATATCTGGGTGTCTGAAGAAGGTACAACTAAATCCATCCATCCATTATCTATACACCGCTTAATCCTCACTAGGGTCATGGGGGGCTGGAGTCTATCCCAGTTGACTCAGGGTGAAGGCAGGTTCACCTGGACAGGTCACCAGTCTATCACAGGGCTACACTTAGAGACAGACAATCAAGCACACTCACATTCACACCTACAGACAATTTAGAATCACCAATTAACCTCAACATGTTTTTGGACCTTGTGGGAGGAAGCCGGAGAACCTGGAGAGAACCCACGCTGCACGGGGAGAACATGCAAACTCCACACAGAAAGATCCCGGGTGTCCTCGAACCACCGAGCCACCTTGCAGAAGAATAATCTATTTAAAATGTAAAATGTTGTTTTTAAGTCTGCAGCAAGACTCACCTGCACAGAGCAGTGGTGGTGCACCAGTATTTATCCTGGTCCCAGCTCTGAAAATTATCATCATCTACTAAGATTCATCTTATTTTCTTTTTTTTAACCTTTTGTTTTTAACAGCCATCTGCTTGGGATCAGAAAATACAAACCTGTTAAAGTGTTTCCTCCTCCTATTTTAATATTCTAATGCAAAAACACAACTTTATTACAAAGATTATGTTACAGTGAGCATTAATTTGGATGCAAAGTCAAATCCTCTGTGTGCTCTCTTAAAATAAAACAAAAAAAAAACGATCATCATTAGTTCTCAGTGATCTTTACGCATCTTTTACGCAATGATACAAAAATACAAAACTGAGTCTCAATGTATTGCTTCCGTCTCTGGAAACCACTACACTACTGCAGGAATGCAAATATCAAGCAGAAGAAAAGAAAAAAAAAAGCGCACAAACATGAGTCTGCACCGGAGACGCCAGGATGAGACGTGCGTAAAAGTAAGTGGAGTTAGTAGATTGAAAACTGGGTTAAAATCACATTTGTGGTTTAAAAAAAAGCCATCAGCCCGCTGCATAACACCGGACTGTAATACTGTTTCATGCAAGTGCAGATTAAAGCTTTATGGAATCGAAAGTAAAACGATAAAAAGACGTGCATTTGTCTTTACGCGCAAAAGCGAGGAAAAAAGAAAAACACGCCAAACTCATTTGTGCGATAGAAAATAGCAGCAAGCGAAAGATTTGCACCAAAAACAGCTCGTTAATGCGTAAATGAACAAGAGTTTGGAGACTTACTTTGAGAAGACTTTGGAGGTTCCAGGTACAAGCTGCAGCCACAGGTGGTTTCTCAGAGCTCAGGGCTTCTTCTCTTCGCTCCTCCTCTGCAGGTCGCTGCACCTTGTTCCCAAAACTCCGACAGAGGTGATTTATATAGTTTAGCAGCAGGCAGGAGGGAGGGGTTTCCACCGTGCGTGTGCGAAGGAAAAGGGTGGGTGAAGAGGCCGAGTGCGTCAGATGGTGATGGTGATGATGATGATGATGATGATGGAGACATTACTAACCGGTCACGCAGTCAGTCCTGTCTCTTTGATGGAGTCAACAGATGACATTTTGGGCCATGACACTCAGAAAAAAAAAAAACAACCTGCATCAGTGGAGAAAAGAAAAAAAAATGTTTACTGTGAATTTGCATCTGCTTCCTCCAGACAAACGACACCAGTCCAAACTGGGAGCCACTGTCGGCCTCCAGGTGTCCTGTAGAGCAACGTTATTATATCCTAGCACCATCTTGACCTTTGAACTCCATCTTTGACAGAGAAAAAGAGCAAAAATCTCCATCAGAAGCTGCTAAAATATCACCTCTCCTGTCACATCTGGATCCTTCTGTGCACAGTTGGCGTGTTTTGGTGCATTTGTGGAACATATTTTTACCATCAGCTTGACTGTGTCTTTGGGTTTTACACTGATGTGGATGCATGTATATAAAAAAAAAGCCGACCTCGTTCTCCCACCAGGCGGAGCTACACAATAATGAAGCTGATGGATGGACAGACAGGCTGTTGTCACGAAGGAAGCGTGATGACGTCTCCCAAAAACGTGACGCACAAACACCTGAACTCTTCGTTTAGCTCCTTCCCCTCCATCTCCGTTGTGAGTCCCCCTCCCCTACTTTGATATTAATGACATCAGTGTCTTCGCTGCAGCGGCGAGTCGCTCATCTGATCCTCCCGCCTGCTTCCAGACCTGCAGCGAACCTCATGTTCAGCCACATCTGGTGCCACCGCATCACCCAGGAAGAGCTTGAAGATCAAATCCGTCGTGGACACATGTACACGTGTCACATAACCCACAGGAAACCTCCGACTGCAGCATCATTCTGCAACTGAAAATAACTCTTAGTTCATAGCAACATTATGCTGCGGATTTGGCTTCCCCACCTGATCCACTGTAGTAAGAGTTGAGCGTGAAATAATCAACATGTGGATGAAGGCAGGACTTTCAGATGCAGCTCAGATGTTCAGACCAGAGATAAAACATCCTTGGGGAAGAGAATCTTTTGTCTGTGCGACACACTAAGTAAAGCTTCTCCAGTGTTTTTCTAAAAGACAAAATTGTGTTTCTGTGCTTCAGCTGTTTTTTCCTTCTGTTACGTCAACCTGGCTGCACCTGTGCAGGTAGTCATCAGCACTCAGAGGCCCAGATAAGGATGGTACGTGAAACAATTTCTTCTAGAGTGAACCATATTTGTGTTTCACAAAACCGGAATGACGGTTATGGTGCTCACATCCCAAAAAAATATAAGCTAAACCACCTCGTATGTTCATGTCCATGTAAAGACACTCAACGATTTACCATCTAAATATGTAGAGATTTTAAAAACAGTGGGTCCTTGATTATAGAAGAGTTTTCATATAGGTGGCAACAGTGAGTGTTAGTCTGGATGACAGTTTTTAAATGTTCCCAGTCAACTAGTTTTACAACAACAATCATGTAAAAAGGTGTCGGAAACCGAAGAAACCGAAGTCCTTCTTTGGTCGTTGATTTAACCCCTAAAAACTTGTCTCATCCATCCATTATCTATACACCTCTTTATCCTCACTCGGGTCACGGGGTGCTGGAGTCTATCCCAGCTGACTCAGGGTGAAGGTAGGGGACACCTGGACAGGTCACCAGTCTATCACAGGGCTACACTTAGAGACAGACAACCAAGCACACTCATATTCACACCTACAGACAATTTAGAATCACCAATTAACCTCAACATGTGTTTGGACTGTGTGGGAGACAGAACCTGGAGAGAACCCACGCTGCACGGGGAGAACATGCAAACTCCACACAGAAAGATCCCAGTCATCCTAACCAGGATGCAAACCGGCGACCTTCTAGCTGCGAGGCGACGATGCTAACCACGGTGCTAGTCAGAAAAATTAAATCAGGCTTATTTTTCAATGTTGGATTAAAACAGAATTCACAGCAATCAGTTAAATCACAAGTTCTCAATCTCGAGTTTTTCAAGTTCCTCTTTAAGCTCGATGTACCGGCTGTTGTTGTCACTGTAACGTCCACAGTTTGAGCTTCAAACAGCAGACTGAGCAGCTCTGAACACACGGCGAGTCGAATTACACACCACGCTAATGAAAACAAGAAAAGGAGATTCTACATCCCAGGGACATGCTTGAGCTGAGCACTTCCTCATCCAGATCGATAACTCTTATTGATCATCCTCTCTGCAGAGCACTTTGTTTGGAGTCATTATTCTGCCAATTAACTTGATGATAATGTTAACCGAGACCATGGGAGCGAAGAGAGTCCTCGGAGACGGAGTGGAGCTGAAGGAGTTTCACACATCATGAGCGTACCGGGCTAAATGAGCTTTCACACAAGAACATTACCCAGCTGGTTAACAGAGATTCAGATCCGGGCCTGACTGATCTCACAGGTTGTGTCCCTGATAAGGAGGAAGGAGAGCGTGGATGGGGAACATAAAGCCTTTTTTTTTCCGGTAATGTTCTCATTTATCTGCATCTCAAAGTCTCCGTTTCAGCTGCAAAGAGAAGAGTTGTTTTTCAGAATAACTGTAAATGTAGGTGTAAAAAAAAAGACAACAAAAAAGCAATCTGGAGTCACAGAAAATGGAGATATGAGCAGATAAATACAGAAACAGAACGTCCTCATTAGAATCAACCAGGCCTCTCGTGCTCTAATGACTAAAAAATGTGAATCAGTGTTGTTTTTTAACGATAAGGGCCAAATCAATATTTGCTCGTTGACCAGGTTAGAGTGTGATAACTGGATTTACTGAAAAGACTTTTTTCCATTAACATCAGTGCAACATTATTTCAATCAAACCTGTCCCTTATGAATATTTGGTGCATTTAAATGACTCTATAGGTCTTTTCTTTTCTTTTCTTTTCTTTTCTGGATCTGTGTAAAATCAATTTCCTGTACTCACTGAAGATTCTGTGCAACATCAGTGTTTTTGCACATCTGGAACAAATCTGTGCAATGTGATGTGAATTTCTAAACATCGAAAAAATTTGTACAATATCATTATCAATCAATATCAGTATTCATGTGTACTCTTTTTTTTCCTACAGTTGTTCTGAAATTGTTGTAGTGTTTGATTTGCTGCTGTAATGATGCAAATGTCCCGACTGTGGGATTAATAAAGACTTATCTCATCGTATCTCATCTAGTCTCACCTCATCTCATCTCATCTTATTGATCGTATCTCATCTCATGTCAACATATTCTATCTTATCTTTTCTCATCGTATCATATCGTATTGTATCGTATCTCATCTCAACTAATCTCTTCTCATCTCATCACATTGCTTATCATCTTATCCAATCTCAACTAATCTCATCTCTTCTTATCTCATTGTATCATGTCGCATTGGATCACATCTTGTCTTGTCTCGTCACATCGCATCGTATCATATCATATCTCATCTCTTCTCACAGATCGCATTGTATCTCATTTTATCTAATCTAATCTCTTATCATGTTAGCATATCGTATCTTATCTCATTATATTGCATCTTATCTTATATCATCTCTTCTTATCATATCGGATCGTATCAGATCTCATCTCAATCTCTTCTCATCTCAACATATAGTATCACATTGTATCACATCTTATCGTATTTTATCTCATATCAACTAATCTCATCTCTTCTCATCTCATTGTGTCATATTGCATCTTATCTCATCTCGTTTGGTGCATCTTATCTTAATAATCCTAACACCTCTAACTATGGTAGCTGTATCCATAGATATCAGCATCTGTTTCCTGCAAATACATACATGATAAAAAACACAAAAATGAGACAAATGACAAACGCTAGACCAAAACGTTTTTAGTTTTTAGTCACTAAAACTACTAAAAACATAACGACTAAAACACACTTAAGACAGCAGCGGTCTGACTTCACTGTTCGATTTCACTTTTTCATCAATGCTTAGGAGTTGATGTGTCGATATTTAGTTTTTCCGCCTTTTTCAGGCTGAATTGTGAAGCGCTGCCGTGCTCATACAGCCTCCCAGAGCTGCTGGCATCAATGGGGCTGTTAATGAAGACAATCAGCCCTCTGTCTAATGCAGCTTCATTCTTTGAGCAGTTCAAGTTTCCATTTGCGGCTAACTTCCATTTCATTCCAGTGTGGATAATGTTACATGGACGGACACCTGCTATCGTTGCTGGTGTTGCTTCCACAGTTTTATTTTAGGGTGTATTATTATTATTATTTTTTTTAATAGCAGCGTGGTGTCACATATCAGCAGAATACAACTAATGCGACAGATATTAATTATTTAAAAACATAACTTAATATTGTTTTATTGCTATTATAATATGTAACACAAGATTACTCAAATATTAGGCACGAAAATTGCAATCAGATACAAGTTTCCACTGAAAAGCATGAAATACAATCACGCAAATGCAATTATTCTGCTTTATTACGGCACATCTTTGAAAGAAAATACCACAAAAATAAAGATCGATTGCCTTTAATTAGCTTTAAAGTACCTGCAATTTAATTTTCATGCTGTGTGCGCATGAAGCAAAACAGATGACTCACTCGGAAGGTAAGAAATTAATCTTACAGCAAACGTTCTGTTTTCCTTTTGGCAAATGAAGATGTAGCGAAATGCGACGTAGTTAACGAGATGGTGTTCTGATTCACCCCTGACTCATTTTCTCAAACGTACTGGATGAGAACTGGGGGGGGAGGAGACACTGATATGGCAGACTTCATATTTAGTATTTTACGAACAACCATCTACTCGTTCATCCAGATTAATCTCTCCGTCTCCCGTCGTGTCTTTCTGTCTCATGCGGAGTCAGTGAAAGCAGTACAAACATGTCTTAGCTCTCAACCTCTGCCTATTCCCCAAACAAACACAGGAGCCGACAGCTTACTGTGTGTGTGTGTGTGTGTGTGTTTAGAG